AAACTTGAGATTGGTGAGGATAGAACTAGGGCCTTGTCATCTGGCAGAAACAACAGCATGCGACAAAATGTGGATGATGAAGGCGATCTCAGTTTAACCTCCTCCAATAATCCGTAGTGTCAGATGTTATATACTACATTATGTAATACCAACCTTCCTTTGCTTGAAAAGTTCAGTATGACCAGTTTTCAGCTTTGTAAAAATTTGTGATTAATAGTACAGAGAGAGACTGGTCTCGAATATATTGAATGAGCTTGGATTACATTATGAAAATGCGACTTAATTGTCTCAATCCGTGCATTCAAAAGTTTATGATCATTTCTTGTTGATTGAAGAAAGTTTGCAGACAGCTAACGAGAGCCTAGGCAGAGTCTGGGAATTCCATCTATCGCCATTATTTCTATGAACTAATTTCTTAACCATTGCTGTTACCTCATTGCATCTAGGTTTAAGGCGCTGGGGTACGTTCATACCTGAAGAAGACCCGGGCCGTGCAACCTTCTTTGTACAATCATACCTCAGGTAAAGTTCAGGCACTACTAATGTCACTGAACTGCTACATCATGCTTTACGCCTTTACCTATAATATAAAGGACAGAAAAGTATAATGGAACATAAAATATACTCCATCTGTCTTAGAATAATTAACATATTGAATTTTTTTTCACTATGCATACATTAACTTTGACTATACTTTTTTTACTAACGTAATAAAAATAATCTTATACAAAATACATTCTAAACCTAAGATGAGAATATTCTATAGATATTGTCTATCAATCATGAAATATATCGTTAGATGGGTATTAATATAAAGTTTTATAATATTTTTTTTTTAATAATTTCTATTAATATTTATTTATATAAGAATAAGATTAAACTGATATATCAGCATTTGTGCACAGTTTTAATTGTGTCAATTATTTAGGGACACATGGAGTAAAGAACTAACACAATTGAAAATACATAGATCAATTAAATGAACATAGGGAGGAAAACAATTATACCCATATAAATAGTAAAAGATCATAAACAACAATCAACTCATCAATCCAACATAAAGAACAATCAATAAAAAAGAACAATCTAATTGAAAGAACATTCAACTACAAACAGCCTTATACTAGTGTTTTTTTAGTCCTCATGAAGTCATGCTTTTTAGTTGACAAGTTTCTTTTATTACATAATCCAATGAACAAGTTTAATTGTTAATATCTCTAATTATCGTTAAAAAATATTACAAGTTGATATCAGGTAATTATATGTTGAGACAATTCTAACACGATCACAATAGGTCTAGCAGAGGAAGAAGAGAAAGAAAAAGCTCAAAAGAACAAGGAAAATTTGCAAATTGCAGCCATTTAAATTTTTTTGTAAATTACAGCCCAAAAGTTCATATAAATTGTAAATTGCAGTCCGATTCAACTTTTTCATTGGTTTACAAGTTGAAAAATCTTCGATTAAGGTTTTAGGGGCCATGTTAGCCCTTAGGGGTCCGAATTGAGCTTAGAATTAGCAAAAAAAATAACGCAAGTATCTCGTTTTGCGTAATAAAAGTGTATCGATTTGTGGAAAACTGTAAATATGAGACATTTACGTTATTTTTTTGCTAATTTCGAGCTCAATTCGGGTTCCTAAGGGATAAAATGACCCCTAAAACCTTAACCAAAGATTTTTCAACATGTAAACCGATGAAAAAATTGAATCGGGCTGCAATTTACAATTTATACGAACTTTTGGGTTGCAATTTGCAAAAAAAATAAAATTAAATGACTGCAATTTGCAAAATACAAACTTTAAATGACTGCAATTTACAAATTTTCCAAAGAACAATAACAATAAAATAGCGGCTTTAACACAACAAGTAGCTGGAGGATTAAGATGCCCACCACTTTCAAATTCCAACCTTTCAAAGTCCTTTTCACCCAAACACGCTCTTAAGCCTCGATTCTCCCCTATTATCAATTGCTTGATTATTTTGTGGGTTAAGATGATTAATTGTTTTGCTATAATGGATTAAGTTTATTGCAATTTTAGATTGTGACAGAATTTGATTTTTGTTTAATTGGAACTGTTCCGTGTAATTAGAGTTTTTTTTTTTAAAAAAAAAAAATTCTGTTCATATAAATCTATAGATTTACCAACTTTTGGGTGATGAATATTTGTGTTTTACAGTTTAAGTGATCCGATTGTGTGAACATGTCATTTCTTTTCTTTGTACGGGATTAATAGTCATGTATATGTTAGAAAATGTCCATAAGAGTTATGTTACCTATCTGAAGGCAATGTAAATTAAGTGATGTGGTGGGGATGAATGAATTCAACAATAATGAGGTTGTAAATTCATGTCATATCAATAATTATGCAAGTTTAAATAGGATGTCCATAAAAGTAATGTCACCCTTCTATAATAAGTAATAGGATTTTTTTGAAAATAACACCACAAATTTTACAAAAAATGGATTATAACACCACAAATTCTCAAACTTTAATTATAATACCACAAAAAAATCCAAAAATTGGATTTCACCACCATGTAACGGATTCTTGGATGGAATCCGTTAGTGGGGTCCGTACAAGACACGTGTCAAGTGTCTAGTGGTTTAAATAAATATTAAAAAAAAACCTAACCTTGCCCTCCCACCACCTCTGCACCACCGGCCTCAACCGCCAATTGCCGCCGGCATCCACTGCCTCAACAAAATCCGACGAAACCAACGCCTTTGACCACCGATCCACCACTTCGCCCCCTCTCCCTCCCCGAAAACCACCTTAAGCCCTCCAAACCACCGCAAAAACCATCTCTAATCGCCGCGAAATCCACCCTCATTCCCGATCTGCCGCGAAATCCACACCCATTTCCCCAGTTTTGCGAAATCGGCGGTCGAAATCGACCAATCGAGGGCTTTCGTGGTCGATTTTTGGCCGTTTTGAGGGTGAAAGGTAAGGGATGGTTAGTTTAAAGTCAATAGATGATATACATTTTTTTTTTTCAATTCCCTCAATGATATACAACTGTTTGTATTATTAATAGTAGGGTTGTTCAAATTCGGGTACCCGAAAGATTTCGGGTAGTTAGAGTACCGACCCATGTCCCGACCCGAGAAAAGCGGGTACCCGGATTTCCCGGGTCGGGTCATAGGGTACCCGGTTTATAAGGTTTTTAATTATATTATATATTATATAAAAAAAAATTAAAAAAAAATCAAATAACATTACAACTACAGCATCAGTATAACTTCATTTATACAAAGGTTACAAACCCAACTCAAACCATCAAAAGATTGTAATTCAACCTCACTAGTACTCTGTATCAAATTAATTAAAATAAAGCTTCACCCAAACAATACAAAAATTGATTTACGATTGAATTGTAAACACCAAAACCCACATTAAATTGGGTAAACATATTTCATTCCTAACCTAACAAATATACTCCACTTATATGGCTGGCAACCTTGTAACCTTCATTTAGATCTAATAACCAGTGAAAGCAAAGTGGGCTCGAGGAGCAAGTAAGCACTGCACTGCACCACACCTATTGCGGGTAAGGCGACACGAGATAGATAGTCGAATTCGGACTTCATTCAATGATGGATTGATGGGAATGCATGTAAGAAAATGGGTAAAGATGCAAAAATAGGGAGGAAAGATGGAGGGGCTATGCAAAATTAAAGAGAGCCAAATAGGGAGATGACGGCTATGAATGAAGAGAGAGAATTGAAAGTTAAAAATATAAACCCTAACCCAATAAAAGTCCGAATCATACACGGGTCAGTGGGTACCCGCCACTTATAAAAGTCGGTCCATGACCCGACCCGCTATTTTTTTAAAAAAATTAAAAATACCCGGTAAAATTAAGTCGGGTCAGCGGGTTATCGGGTCGGGTATTTTTGAACACCCCTAATTAATAGGTATAACTTTGTCAATAACACTCAAGCCCTACAAATGCTCACATCATTTGCAAATTACTTTTACGTTCGTGTTTAGAATGCAGTAAATTAGTTGTATACAATTAAACGACATTATGCAGCACAAAATAAAGAGAGATCGATGGCATGAATAATGTCTTTTACCAACTGTACATTGTCTCATTTAGTAATTTATGTGATTCCTTTTCTTCATAAGTTATTTTACATGTCAAAAGTTAATGTAGAATTGTTTTATTTGTATCAAAAGTATAAAATTTATGTGATTTGAGGCAATATGCAATATGCTACATGTATATTCAGATAATATGTAATTTTGTTAGGCTTTTAATCTAAAAGCTGTTGAGTTATTATCACAAAAATCTTATGACATTATCAGTTATTTGATTTCCATGATAATTTTTTCTAAGCTGTAATATTACATAGAAGAGACATTTATACTGCTCTATAAGATATTGGAGTCATGGGTGATATTGGAGGATGTTGGTGGATTGTTCCTACAATGATGTCCAAACACCAATAGGTTTTATAGTTGAAGACGGTGGAGGAAAGAATTGGCTAGATAATTCTAAAACTTCATTCACATTTTTTGTAACTATACTGTTCTAGAAATTGCTAGAGTCATTAGGTACTTTTAGTGGCTTCCAATTTCCTTTCAAGTATGTTCTAGAATGGTCTTGCATTATGACCAAGAATTAACTTTACTTGATTAATCCACTTACAGTCCATGCATGTACATACATACATTCCACCAACAGGCAATGAATGGCCTAGAAATGTTGGGTCACACCCAACAATCTCCGCCTTGGACCAAATTTTGTACGCACTCAATTCAAATATTAACTTCTCTTCAATGTTACTCGTATTATATCTTGACAACCTTGTAAATGTCTCTCAGTTGATGTTATTTGTGAACATTTTTGTGCCGTTGTAACGTTGTTGTGTTGCCAACTTTCAATTGTTTAAAATAATATTGACCATTTTGTTGAAATCATTTTGCTTTAGTTCTCTAGATAACCAAGTCAATTATTGTAAACATTTGACTCACAGTAATGTGGAATGATGCATTTCTTTTTTTTTTTTTATGGTTTTTTGCAACCATGGGAAAATAGAGTTCTTGTCCAGAAAAAAATGATTTTATTGTCAGTTTTCAAAATCATGATGTTTATAATATATTTGACTAATTATTACACTAAAACCAAGAAATTGGTAACTACAATATAATAATAACGAACGACTCTATCTTTTTTAAGATCTATGTGGTGTTTTTTCCCCCTAAGAGTCAATTCTGATCTCAGAAAACTTGAAAAGACAATCTTAAATCAAATTTAGCCTTAAAAAACTAGAAAATATCACAAAAACATCCTTAAATTGTTTAGTAACAAAGTTCATAATTGAGAACAAGAACACTTTGAGCATTGTTATTTTTGTATGTAAGAGCCTCATATCTTTCAGCTACATAGCACATATTCCTGCAGACTGTTTTAGAGCCTAAAATTTCAACAAATGCAGCTTAGAAACCTTAAAACTGCATTGCTTCAACGACGCTTAGCTCTTTAAGGAACATCTCCTGTGTTACTTGTAGCTCTCTAAAGGCATCCTCGATTCTCATTCGATCTTGAGGTGACTCTACTGAACACTTCACGCCGATGTCAATGAGAGACCATACACACTTAAGATAACAGTCTTTTCTTGCCAAAGCTACATATTGACTTCCATTGCTTGCAACATTATCATCAAAAAGCTTTGGGTCGATAATCTCTGTGAATTGGTCAGACAATGCTGATTTAGCATACTTATGAAGGTCTAAATCTCCCTCGAACATCTTATTTGTGGGAAATATACTGCTCATCATCTCTATCAACACGATTCCATAGCTGTACATGTCACCTTCTTTTGATACCACGCTTCCTAGGCCGTACTCTATCCAAAACAGAATGTTTCAAAAGTCAGATCAGTAAAAATACTAATAATAACTTGTGAAAAATGCTTTTAAGTTTTCCTTTACTGATTTTTACTCAACTGAAGTGATTTGCATATCAAAAACTCATTTTTCGCGTAAAATGAACAGAATGGCCTTAACAAAGTAGTGTAGTTACCTGGAGCAGCATATCCAATTGTCCCTTTAACTGCAACTGAACTGCTGTTATATGTGCTTACATTCGAATGAAATGTAGCTAACCCAAAGTCTCCGACATGGGCAACCATGTCGCTGTCAAGGAGAATGTTGCTTGGTTTTAAGTCGCAATGAATTATAGGAGTATCACAACTGTTGTGCAGATAATCCAGTGCACAAGCAACATCGATGGCAATGTTCAATCTTTGGAGGAGGCTAAGGGGTTTCGTATGCTGTTCAATGTGAATCCATTGTTTAAGGTTTCCATTTGGCATGAACTCGTAAACTAATGCCTTAAAATCATTGCCTTGGAAGTCTGTACTCGAGCAAGCAGTGACAATCTTAAGTAGGTTCCTATGACGGATATTTTTCAATGCTTCACACTCTGCCATGAAACTCTTTCTCGCGCCTTTCTGTTCAAGGCTGATAACCTTAATGGCTACAACCATGCTGTTTTCTGGGTCAAGGACTCCTTTATAAACAGAACCAAAACCGCCTGCACCTATTAAGTTTGCTTCCGAAAATCTGTCAGTTGCCTTCAGAAGCATATTATAAGATACTTTTGAGAAAGGCTCCTTCACATTCAACAATGATCCCTGAGATAGCCTGCTCTTTTTATTCCTAATACACATCAGGAAATATATTGCTGAGATTATCGACACACCAACAACTAAAGAAGCTACCGCGATAGTCAGGGTCACAGCAACAGACAGTCTACCCCTCCTTTTAGAGCCTCTTGCCAAGGTAGCATTGGTTAAACATTTTGGCAAATGAATTTCAGGAATCCCTCCACAAAGCTTTTTATTTCCCAAAGTTGTCGCGGCACTTGTATTTGTGAAAACCCCTGTTCTCGGAACCTCTCCCTCTAAATCATTAAAAGATACATCTAATCCTTGTAAAGAAAAATTAGACAGGAAATCCGGAATTTGGCCTGACAGTCTGTTATGAGATAAATTTAAGTACTTGATACTAGTTAAAGACTTGAAAGATTGAGGAATTGAACCAGTAAAGAAGTTTTCTCCCATTTGAAGTTCAAGAAGGCCAAAGCAACTAGCAAGGCTAGATGGAACCTTTCCTTTGAATGCGTTTCTTGTTATGTCTAACACCACTAAATTCCTCAACTGACCAATCTCCCCAGGGAAGACTCCTTGCAGACGATTATGATCCAAATGAAGTTCGAGTAACATTGAAGCATGGAACAGATGAGGAGATACTAGTCCACTGAGGTTGTTTTCTGAAAGTATCAAGTATAATAAATTTGTGCACTCTCCTAGACTCGAGGGAATAGTTCCCTCAAAGCTATTGTTATCCATATATAACTCACTCAACCGCGATAAATTTCCTAATGAATGAGGAATATCTCCAATGAGGTGATTGTTACTGCAGGAAAAGTGTTCTAACTTGCTAAAATTTTCAATCTCAAGTGGAAGATGACCTGTTAGTTCATTGTCTGACAATTGTAGTCTCTGTAAGTTAATGAGGTTGAACAGTTCAGTTGGAATGCTTCCAGTTAGATTGTTTTGTTGAAAATCTATCACAGAAATTTCTGTTGAAAGATTACCAAGAAAGCGCGGCAGAATGCCACCAAATCTGTTAGAACCACATTCTAACAGACTTAACTGACTACAGTTAACAAGAGTTTGTACAAAACTCAGATCATCAGGTTCTCCCGTCCCCAAATAGTTCAAAGAGATATCTAGCCTTCTAAGATCGGGCATGTCTCGAGCACTAAACATGAATTTTCCTGTGAAATTGTTAGAATAAACTGCTAGAACCTGAAGCTGAGTAAGGTTAGAAAGAGACAGAGGAAGAGTACCATGGAAAAAGTTGCCACTTATTTTGAAGTATGCAAGTTGAGGAAGTCGAAACCCAATATCGAAGGGAAGAGTCCCTTCTAGTCTATTAAGGTCCAAATCAACAACAAAGAGAGATGAAAGGTTGTAAAATGACGAAGGAATGGTACCTGAAATCTTATTTTGTGCAAGACTAATGTAAACTAAATTTGTTAAAACTCTTCCAATGTTGTCAGGGATGCTTCCTTCAAAAGAATTGAAAGCTGCAGACAAATAGCTTAAGGAAGTCATGTTCGTGACAACCGTGTTGAGGAGGTCACCTGTGAATCGATTTTCCTGCAGTATTAAGTAATTCAAGTTTGACAGACGGCCTAGTTCACGAGGAATGCTTCCTGTTAAATGGTTTCCTGCAAGACTAAGTCCCTCTAGTTTGGAGCATTGAGATATATTGGCTGGAACTTCTCCTTCGAAGGAGTTCCTCTGTAAAATTAGAGACCTTAGACTAAGAAGATTACCAATTTGAGGTGGTATATGACCTTGGAAACTGTTATTAGACAGACTCAGATTCTGAAGGAAACTCAGGTTTCCAACAGAAGGTGATAAGGTTCCTACTAAACCATAGGAGACAAGTCGTAAGCCAACGACTCGTTGTGAAGGTGTTGCATCACAAGTTACACCGTGCCATTGACACATAGAAATGGTGGTGTTCCAAGAATTCAGAACACCTTGAGGGTCATTAGTAACTTGAGACTTGATTGCTAAGAGGGCGAGACGGTCTACTGAAGAATTGGCAGAAGTAAGGCATGAGTTTGGTAAACAGAAATAGAACATGAAAACAACAATGAAGAAGATGAGATTCATGACTGATATATGGTTTCAGACTTTCAGGTCAGTATGTGATTATATGATTATATATACATACACCGATACAGTTAGCTTGGTAAGGTGGTAACTATATAATGCGGAGAAAAGATAAGTAATTGTATAATATTGATACAATAATATGTCAGGTGTTGACTCTTGACTCTTGACTCTTGACTAGGGTAATGCAATAATGTGTAGACTAATTGGATTATTAGTCATTATTTATGCCAAAAGAGAGAAACTTTCTGTGAGAATTCGAGGAAAGGAGAACCTTTAGAATGTTAGTGCCAAGTTAAGTTGAAATAGTTTATTTACTTAGTGTGAAAATTGATTGAAACTTTTGCAAGATATGAAAGCACTGACTAAAAGTTATAAAATGTGCATTAAAATACAAATAAAGTTTGTTTATTTTCTCTACCTTGACCAGTATTGAAATAGTTTATCATTTTCAATTGATCTCTGATATAGTGATATCAGTTAGTTCACACGGACTTTATATTTTGTTTTGCAAATTGTCATTAGTTAACTAATTAATTATTTATTGGCATATGCTTATATACATATATGTACACACTTCCAATTGGTATTAATTAAGTAATTTCCGATGTTTTTATTATATAAATAAATATGTACTTTGTACAGACTAACCTCAAAAGAAGACTTTAAGGAGCTCATCAAGAAATTATCTTCTTTTACTATTTCACTGCAAATTGATACGAAGTATTAGTTATAAAAAAAAAAAAAATAAATAAAAAAAAAATGGTTGAGCTTTTGAAAAATGTGAAAAAAAAAACCCACAAATTTTGTATATGAAAAGTAAAGACAAGGTTCACACATCACACTTGAAACAAGAAAGAAATTACAGAATACCAATAAAAGAGAGTGAATTTGAAACACCACAAATACGAGTATAGGACTATTGGTCTATTGCAATTATAGTGAAACAGAGCAAGTAGGCGAGCAACAACCGCCATAGAAAAAGGCAAGAAACAAGCACATACCTAAATAAGAATTCTACTAAGATTATAGAATTGACCAAAAAATTTCACATGGACTGGCGTTTAAGCCGTTTATACAAAAAAGATAATTTAGAATATCTGAAAAACAATACAACAATTCGGAGTAGTTCATCTCCATCTATTTTTTGATGATCACAAAAAGGAACCCTGTAATCCAAAAACTTCTGTAACCCTCCAGAGTTCCTTGAAAAGAAGAATCAAACTCCAAATGTGGAGTATGAAATCATCATAACCCAAAAGCAAGGATCTCATTGAAAGCACATCTTGAGGGGCAAAAAATGAAAAAATCCTAGTCATAATGGACCTAATTATACACATTTGCAAGGCACATTGATAATCGTGTGGTGCATGACTTGCACATGAGAGCCCAGACCTTCTTCTGATGATTCAATAACTTAAGACATGCATATCAGGCAGGAATAGATTGTCTTTGACTCCACGGGAACACGACCCCCTTTTTCTCTCCCGACATTCTGACCCAAGTCATGTTTAAATAGGCATCTCATTTACTCGTAGATCAGTCTGCAAACGGGTGTTATCATGCTCGTTAAATCTTCAGGTCTTCCAATTTCCCATTTATTGTGACAGAGCCAGTATCCAGATGATTTGCAGCCCCATTTTCAGAATTTTCGCAAGAGGTGTTTAGATAGGCATTCGAGACAGCAGAGCTCTTGCAGCCTTCAAAATACACAGAATGAGGAAAAAATTCGGCACATCGTGTCTTCCATCCTGCAACATTTAGATAGCATATTGAAGATTAATAAATTTGACCAAGGAAACAAAAACAATCAGTCACATTCAAATCGCAACCCGTAAAAGGCAAAAAATCACAGCTCAAGATTTCACGAGATGATAAATTAGATTACATAGGTACAGATATGTATGCCTGGAAAAACTGACTGATAATCCAAATATCTCTACACAAACCAGAACTGTACACATGTGCCAAACCCACAACATTCCAACCCTGCCCAGCACAAAAATTAATGTGACTATTGACAATACATATCCAACCACACCCGAACCAGAATCAACAGCACAAAAATTAATGTGACTATTGACAATACATATCCAACCACACCCGAAACAGAATCAACTGGAGTTACAACTACAATATAGTGCACAACACATGATGAAGAGTAGCCATTCCAAAAGAAGATAAACTAAAAGTTGTCTTGTGTCTGAGACACAATTATAAGGCACAAGACCATGGACAAACAACTCGAAACAATAAAGATAAAAAAACCTACTTTGTATATCACTGCATTCAAGTAAAGTGTATATTCAAGACATGAGGCACGACTCCAAGGTTATCTAAGTATCAACAGACGACAACTAATGAGAACAATAATTAACCTTCGCTGTTTTTTAAGCAAAACCAAGTTTTGACAGAACCATTATGAAGTTGAAAAAAAAAAAAAAAAAAAAAAAAAAAAAAAAAAAAACTTTGCCAACAGCTCATTATTGCAGATAATGTCAATGTTTCATCTTTTGACTTTCAAGTAAGATAATTTTTTCTAAGGTCCTGAACCCAAGTACATCAGAAGGATATACCAAACTTATAGCTTGCAGACTTAAAGCCATTGTAAACCATCTTCATTTTTCCCCCTTTATTTCCGGGAAAGAGGACTTCCAACTTGAATCATTTAAGTTAAAGTTTTGCCCAAATCAGACGTTACAGAGCTTACAGCTATTTCCAGTAGACAAAATTCATTAAGATTCTTTACAAAACTGCTCATGAAAAATTTGTCAATACAGTCAATATTCTAGGACTAAATATGATGCACAACTTTGACAAGAAAGGCAATAATACTAGAAAGGCCACAAAATACTTACTGGATGCAGCATCATTATCAACCAAAACACTTTCCAAGAGCTTGTGAACGGCAATACAGTCCTTAAGCTTCCACTGCCCAACACGGCCAAAAGCTCCATTTCTGTAAAAATATTAAGTTTCAACATCAGCCTACAAAGTTCAAAAACAGTACTCATTTCATTTCAAATTATGTTATCTGCTTCACGGTCTCTTAACACACATGAAAAAGATAAAACTAGTAATCAAAAATTTAAATCGAAACAAAACAAGATCACATATGATAATGCTTTTCCCTATCTGGCAGTGAGAGGAAACATATAATGAAAAATTTATGAATTCAATTTTAAAAATTCAAATGGAGCGAGTTAATTGAGATTGAGAGAATGATATTGGCACTTAAAACAACATTTACAATATCAAATGAGATCACATTACATCGAAAGCACATCATCTGATGACTCTTCAATCAACTTAACAGCCTCAGACTTTTTACTTGGTTCCAAAAGATTAAGCATTTCTGCGACTGCTGCTCTGTGCATCAAGGAATCTGCAGTAATAATAAATGTCAGCACATATTGCCAAAAGGTCCAAAACACGGGAAACGAGAGCAAGAGCCAAATATCTCCAGAAGCACCTTTATGCTTCGTCAAGAACGACATGTTTGCATCCATCAGAGATTTCTCATGCACTTGACTGCATTAGAAAGCAATGAAGCAATTAGAATGAATAAGGATAAATTGAAAGAATTTATCCATGGCAATACAAACAATTTAGAAACCTTATGGATTGACGCTCTGCTTCTAAGACATTCCAGACAAGCCGCTCGGCATCAGAGGCAGGAGCAGGCATAGAGCTCACCTTGTTGAAAAATCTAATCTGTAATAAGCAAAAAACTTCAGCACTCAACCAATACGGTAATAATTAGAAGGACGAAGACACCCACCAACGCAAACCAAGTTATGGAAAATGAAAGGAACAGCCAAAAAGAAATAGAGAAAAGAGCATACCAAACAGCGATGTGAATCTGGGTTTTCAGCATCCAACCTTAACAAATTCTTTACAGCCTTTAAAAAAAACAAAAATAAATAAAAAATCAATCAAAGAGCAAAAAAAATAACATTTATTATATTATAATGCCAAATTGCCAACCAACAAACGAAGGTAATGTTATGACATTTGAACAAAATGGCAATATAATAGTGTCAAACTAAAGTGATTATTCCAGTTAAGAGTTGTAAAACTTAAGTGTTCAAATCCAAAATGCAGACAAATTACCTGCAAAGCAAGTAAAACCTTCTGCTTCCTCATATTTACTTCAAAAGAAAGCAAGTGCGTTTCTAAAGAATCAGCTGAATTTTTCTGCAACAGCTTCAGATACTTTGTAGCTTCCATCATTGTGTCCTCGACCTACAAGAATAAATTGTTTCAATGCAACTATACAGTAATTATGCAATTATACTTTAACTAAAAGGATTTACAAATTTTAAAACTACAATTCCTTGGTTACTTAAAAAAAACAGCAGCCATGTGGGGTTTTGTTCACTCTCATTAATATTTAAAGGTATTAATGTTTGAAGTCATGTATTGGCAAATATTCCTAAAGACTAAAGCAATGTGTCAACTATGTTAACACGGAGGAAACATGTTTTTTAGAAAAAGTCTCAAAAACAATTTTTAAAAATTATCAAAACCTGCAAAAGTTTCTCTCCATGAGGATCAGGATCCACTGCTTTAACATGTTTTTTTCCAGATTTCGAGACATTGCTTGCAGTTGCTTCCTCATTTTTACTTTCCGCCTCCTGAAATTAGACAGAAATTAGATTGGCATTCAAGGGACAAGAAGGATCCACAATCATCATTAAGTAAAAGACACATACTTTCTTAGCTCGGGCTTCAGCCTTTCTCTGCTTTTGCCGCAATTTCTTTTTCTGAGCAGGAAGCAATTTTGACATCTCCTCATCTTCTTCAGTTGCTGACTTGGAGGGGGCATCAAACAGCTTAATGTAGCATCTGCAGCCACCAAAAAATAGTCAACACCAAACAAACAAACAGGAAAAGAAAAAAAAAAGGGTAATAAAAAAACTTGAAAAGGTCAACCATCATAAATTTAGATTATGCATCAACTTGCAAAGCCAAATCATATAGAGAAGCTAATATACATTTTGATGTACTAGCATAGAGCATTATGCTGAAGAAAAGTAATGAATTGCAGAAACAGAGTTATAATTCATGCACCAAAAAAATTAATATCAAATGAACATCTGAAGATCTAATCTTTCCAGCCTTCTCAGAAATCAACTTTTGTATGCAGTAACAACGACAAATTCACAAGACAACATACAAGATGATTTTCCACCACCAAATGTCTCATTTTTTTCATGAATTTCAGAAACACTTTATAGGTGTATTTGATTTGCAATGGAAAATTCATGTTAGGGATCAAATTTTGCTGTATTGGGCATAGGCATTATGCTGAAGAAAAGTAATGAACTGCAGAAACAGAGTTTAATTCATGCACCAAAAAAATTAATATCAAATGAACATCTGAAGATCTAACCTTTCCAGCCTTCTCAGAAATCAACTTTTGTATGCAGTAACGACAAATTCACAAGACAGCATACAAGATGATTTTCCACCACCAAATCTCTCATTTTTTCATGAATTTTAGTAAAACACTTTATAGGTGTATTTGATTTGTAATGGAAAAATCATGTTAGGTATCAAATTTTGTTGTATTGGGCAGAGGCATGAAATCTTTTACTAATCAATATACATTCCAATACCATCATTTATAAGAGTATCAAGCCCTCTAGCAAAAAGATTGATAGTACACAAAAAACAAACATTTGGAAACGGAACAACATGAACACGCATTACATTTGATACTTAGCAGGAGCACCTGAGCTGAAAATCTTTTGGCCATAGATTGTAGGCAAAGGGGAAAAAAACACAGAAATCCCCAATGTTAATGATAGACAAAAAAAGTCAAAATACATATGAGATATAGCAGGGTATCCACCTACCCAGTAAAATAAATTATTGACCCAGGTAGCTGCCATATAGAACACAATTTAGTACGTAGCTAAATCACCTCGAAATGCTTTTCAGCAAAGGCTCCAAAAGGTGTTTGTGTGTGTGGGCGAGCGCACACGTGGGGTGGGGGGAGGGGGGGGCACTGGTTTTCAACTTTTTGTGTTCCATAAAATATGTGTACATCCATATAAAATCTGTTCCACACGTTCAGGAAATGTAAACTGACAGTGACCGAAAAAAAAGATTTGACAGTCAGACCACTGAACAGCAATCTCAGTACAAACTTAACCACGGCATTTAGAGGGGGGGTGGAGGGGGGATGAGAGAATCACCTGATTGCCCCAGCTGCAGCCTTTTGAAAATACGAGTGTGAATGCAATCGGTCCTGAAACTTCAGCATTTCCACATACGTTCTCAAAGTCATTTTTCTTAGACAGTAAGAGTGGAAATCAAATTGATCCTCAGTTATATCAGCATAATGCTTCTCCACGGCTAGAAATTTTTTTAAAGAACGTCCAAGATCACCTTGTCTGAAATAGCTCTCACCAGATGCAAGCTCGTACCTTCCATACACGATCAAAAGCACAATCAATATCTTTCTCATATATATAAATTGCATTGAGAATTATTCATTGAATACCAAATACGTACCACATGCACTGCATGTCATACAAATTATTATGCTGATCACCATCTTTTGTGAACAAGACAGCTGTTTTCTCAGCTAAAGTCACCTATATATATGTCCAACAGATGGAAAATATAAGAAATGGAACTAACACAAAAGGTCCAAAAAATTGTTCGGCAAAAGAAGAAAACGAAAAAGAAAAGCGCAGACCTGATCAGCTTGCAGCATACGCTTGACACATTCACTGTTTACATAGCGATCAGCAAGATCCATGCATCGGGCTTCATCTGCTAAAGCAGCAGCTGCCTTCAAGTCACCAGCATGCTTCAAGATTCGGCTCTGTGGAAACATAGCATACAGTATAAGCAAGGTAGCATATAATTGTACAAAGTTCGGAGAATAAAGATGAAGGCAGTACACTTCTCAATTTAACAAACACGAGTCATTGATCACATAATGAGAATGTGATACATACGAGAACAGGACTACAAAAGGCAAGCTCAAGAAATCTTAAAAAGGCTGCGGGAGATATGAACGAACCTTAACAGAGTAAAGATCAATCACTGTAGGGGTGTGATTTATCGCTTCATCAATTTTTTCAAGAGCGGTGCTGTATTGACTACGTCTATCGTAATGCTGTAAAAGCAACAGGTGAAAAAGAGCAAATGGACTTTCAGAAAGTGTAATAGGGATAACTCATTGTAAACTGTAGTAACTACACATTCAAAAATGTCAGAAAAGCATACCTGTGCCACCAAGAACAAAGTCCACATGAAGGTAGAAGGAGGCTCTTTTTCGGTTCTGTAAATTACAGAAGCTTAGCAGTCAAATTTTCAGAAATACAGATACAATAATCAAGTTTCTCAGAAAGATAAGCAGAAAAATCAACACACACAAGACACAACCATTAATGTTATGAAATACAATGCTGCCCAGGGGTTGACCAAAAAAAAACATTTTGGCTAGAGCAAACAACAACATGCCAAAATAAAATGAAATAAATTACTACCTCCGTTACATATTAGTTGCGACTTTCACCTTGACACGGATTTTAAGACAAAATTTCATAATAGCTGATTAATGAATCAAACAGATAATTAAGGATAGGAGAGAGAAAGTGAAGGTAATTAAAAAATTAACCACCACCACCAACAACAGCCACCCCGCAACCGTCGCCCAACAGCAGCCACCCCGCCATCGTTGCCCAACAGCCTGAAAACACCTCCTCTCAGCCGGAACCACCCAGAAACCACCCACTCGCAACTTCTAACAACCTAGAAACCACCCACACGCACATTAAACAACCCAGAAATCACCCAGAAACCATATTTAAGTGTAGATCTGAGGAATTTTTGAGGTTTTGAGAAGATTTCGTGACGAACTTGTGGGTTTTGTGAGGATTTCGTGGGTTTGAGAGCGATTGTGAGGAAATTCGTGACGAACTCGTGGGTTTTGTGAGGATTTCGTGGGTTTGAGAACAATTGTGATGAATTTCGTGGGTTAGATCAAAGTGCAATTGTAAGGAATTCGTGGGTTAGATGTTAGATTGAGGTAGGAGAGTGAAATTCATGGAGGAAGGAAAGAGAAACTCTTGGAAGAAGAAGAACCACTCATGGAAGAAGAAGAACCCAGAAGAACTACGGTATTGAAATTTCACCAAATCTGGAAAATAGCAATGAATTGGTTTGATTCATTAAATGAAGTTGGTTCCATTTTTTTTTGAAGGGTGAATGAAGTTGGTTGGGGAATAATTAATTTGTTGAGAATCATTAATTTAATGACTTTGGGTTAATGGTTAAGGTGATCAGATTATAATAGGTAATTGAGATTATGATTTTTTTAGTAAGGGTAAAGTAGTAATTTTATATGAAAAATTTTACCAAAAAAAGAAAGAAATAGAAAGTTGCAACTAATAGGTAGCACCCCTAAATGGAAAAAGTTGCAACTAATATGTAACGGAGGTAGTATATGACATGCCTCTTTATCCAACCCAAGGTACAACTACAGAGCAGATTATTACAATACAAACTCTTGTTTGCTACTTATAAAAAAAAGCACCTACCATGAGAGCATATCAGAACTTTCAGAAGTGCTCTATAACAAGAGGCATATAGAAGTCAACATACCTTCCAGGATAACCTCCTGTTTTCCTGAGTGAACCCTCCAAGTCCAATACCAACTTTTCAAGAATGTCTACCTGATAAGTAGAGAAAAAGGCAGGATGATATATAAGAACATTAAACAATCTGACCATGTCCCTGACTGTCCTCCATATAACAAAAGAAAAGGGTGGAAGGAGAAATAGATCACAAGAAAATAATGCATTTCATTATGTCAACATTTTGAAACTATTCTTAAGTTAGTTTCAACCATATTTTTTTAACAACAAATTATACTTAAACAAATGAAAAATTAAAAAAATAAAAAATCATTATTTTTATGTAAAAGGTTATTGGGTTGATCTCTATGTATATATTCAAGTAGTATATAACAACACGTGTTTTACTGATAGGCAATTAATAACATTAATAGTCAAAATTTTGTCTGACGACATGACAAGTGTGAAAGCCAAAATGTACAAAGCTAAAAATTAAAATACATAGGAGAACTGCAACAATGTCAGACACATTCACATCTGTCCAATTTCACATCACTTTAAAATGTATACTGACCTTTCCAGGTTGATCATACAGAGGAGACAGATCTGAAAACAAAGAAGGAACACCCTGCAAGCATCAAATAACAAGCATGGATTAATATGTTGAAATTACAACCAGATAAATAGAGGTAGCAAAATTCAGAATACCTTGGTAAGCAAAGGCTGGATATAGTTGTCTGCAGCTTCTTGAAACTTTTCCCCTTGCAGGAAATCAAGTGGAATCCGCTGGTAGAAAATAAAACCAGTAAAACAAGAAAATAAGCTTCGCAAAAACAAAATTGGGGAGGCCCGAGGGAGGAGCATGCTAAACTCTGAGGAATAAAAATAAATAAAGAATAACAAATAAGAATCCATCCAATTAAATCAAAATAAAAGGCTTATGAAATGAGAATGTAACTCAAGAACGTTATATTTTTCTGAATAGAGAAAGAGGTAATCAAATATTTGAAGAAATTAATAATTATAAATTCCTAACCTTAGCGGCAGATGACCATTTATATTCTTGCTGCAGTGATTTATACAAAGCATCGAGTTTCTCTATCTCTTCAGAAGTGTACTGTCCTTTTTCTGAATATAGTCCAAGGCATCTTTGCAAACCTTCATAGTATCTAGACCAAAAGAGAGAAAGAAAGATGAATTAGCCTCAATCCACCTTCCTAGCAAACCCCATTTGGCAGCATAATAGAGATACAATCACAAGATATTATAAGGTTCTGGATATTGGCAGAAAATGTTTCACATCTCACTTTGAACAATTGAGCGAGCATTTTTCCACAACTACAAACAATTAAATATGATTATTCATACAGAAAACTAGCATGCAGATTCCTATACAAGTCTGCATGTGTTTTAAAAACAAGTTATGTTTCGCTAATAAACAAAAGACATGAAATAGCAAAAAAAACCTATAATTGTCAGGATTCATGGAGAGCAGCATTCTGTATAGTTTCGCAGCTTCTTCCAGACGATTAAGTTTCAGCAGAAGAGAAGTTTCCTGCTCTTTGTAAGATAATCTATCAACCTATATCCAAGCCAACAAAGAAAAAATCAAGATTATAGATCAACACATAGAAACTATACCAGGACAAAAGTCATATTATCATCTCACGATTTTGATTTCCTTCCGCTGTAGTTCTTCATGAGCTCTTTCCAAGGATCCACAATCTTCCAACAGAGACACCTAAAGAAATGAAATTACAAATTTGATTAATGTCATTGCTTAACAAAAACAAGAACATAAAACTAAAGGCAGATAGCACAAGAGCAAGCCAGCAAATGAACTCTGTTATTGGAAATTGAACTACAGGTGAATCATGGAGTGTAGAAATAGTTTATGTGTTCCATATGTTACGTATACTCCATCTACTCCCTCAATTTCTAAATAATCTTGCTTCGATGGTGATTCTCTCAAAAAAAAAAATCAAAACAAGAAGAAAATTAGAAACGAGAGAGTAGTCCTTAATAACTTAATTCAGCTACTATTTTAAATTGAAGTCCAAACATTGGATAGATTAAATTATAAAACACATAGGAATTCTTCTACTAGAATTAAGAGAAAGCATAGATAAAAAAGAATCAAGTGAACCTAAAGTTTGGGATTATATTAATAGCTCAGTTCACCATAAATAAATGGACAATAAGCTTCTAATCTAACATTCTAACAAGACCAAAATCTTCAAACTGTCATAACAACAAATAAGAACATCAACACCACAAAACGTTATACTTGCACCATTCCACATAAATCGCTACATTTAGATACACTATTCACACAACCCTAACATAGTCACGTAGGATATTGTGAGATTCGTCTCAAATTATACTTTTAATATATCACTTTTTAATATTTTTACTCAGACATATATTAAAGATATTAATAGTTAAAGTGTGCGTTGGGAAGCGTAATCTCTACAGGTTGCAAAAAAGATGAAACAGGGGAAGAATATTTTAAGGATACATAAGAGCTCAAAGAAAACACAAGTATCTAAATGACATATAAAATTAGAACAGAAGAAAAATCAATAATTGGGACTGCATTCATGTTAACATTTGCACAGACTATCAGAGTTCATAGCAACAGTTGGACACGCCTAGTTTTTAGGTTGTATTCACACTCCTCAAAAGTGGACTCCACAACAGTGCCTAACAAGCACACGTCCTTGGTTTCTACTCTTTGTTTTTTTATAAAGATAACACTCATGTCCAACAAGGGTATGACACAAGTACTGGAACGTAGGTAAATCAAAAGTTTGCTTAAAGAGCTGCCAAGTACTTTTTCAGCAAGTAAGAAAAGCATTTATCATTGGTTATTAAAATAAATAAATAAATAAATAAATAATACATTGCAAGGGACGCCTCACTTGGAAACACACACATCCCCCCCCCCCACCCACCCGACCCAAACAAAAAAATATACTGTTAACATTTAGGTGCCAAGCATGTCTTTTGTATGACATAGTCAGGTACCTTATACAGCAGCATTTCACTATGCTCACATCGTTCATTATCTGGTGGATAATCATCCTCCAGTGTTCCTTCATATGCCTCTAGAATTTCAATTGCTTTTGATGCACTACAATCCAAAATTGAAGAGTAAGATTTAGAAAAATGCAGATATTCAAGTTTCAAGAACTTCCAATAAATCACATTATTGGATTATACAAGTACATTATAATATTTTCTTACAGATGCACAAACAGAATGAAATGTGCAAGACAAGGAGACGTTTAAATGATTATCAGTAATATTAACCAAGTCAATCAGTGAACAATTCACCGAAACAAAGAAACTTCCATCTGATACAAAAGTACAAAACACACTAACAATTGGTCCTATTTCGCAGTCCTACATCCTAGTAAATTCATCTAATATTTGATCCTGTCAAACAGGTAACTATTATAAGGGCCCATTAGTCCCGCATGTTATTTTACTTGGAACCTTCATGCCCTTCATTGACAATTGAATTGCTGCTGAATGCCTAAGCCACCAGATGAAGGTTTAACATCAGTAGACAATTTAAGCATCTTGCATATGAACAATCAGTATGCCCTAACACAATAAATGCACCCTCGACTACATTGAGCTTTGTTTGGACCTTCCAAAGAAACCATGTCACTAGGTATCACCTAAATGTCTTGCCAGAAGCGCATCGCAAGTATGTGGACCATATACAAAACATTGTCGACTTCAATCGGTGCACCAACTCAAAACAATAAGCAACATCACTCATCAGAAAAGGTAATCCAAGCAAACATTACACGCTAGCACTCAATCCATGGGAAGTGGAGAAATATCTTTGACTTACAGGGCCAATTTTAAACCACCTAGGGCCATATGAGCTTTTTATAGCAATAATCTAAATCAGAGAGAACAGAATCATCTTGGATTAATAGAGTCCAGCGCTTGTACAAATCAGTTTCCTCCAACTACAAAGACCCTAAATTTGCAAACCTCATACTTAATCAAGCTAAAACTACCTGGCTTTCTCAACATGGGAAATCTGAAGAATGAAAAAACTTCTTGGTCACCTTTAATTTATACCTTATAATTCATTTATCTCCACCAACCTCTTGCAGACGAGATAAGTAATTGGCAAGGAGTTTAACTATGCAAAATGCGTAAAATTTACTAGGTATACCTTTCATGCACTGATGCACCGGCTCACCTCATAAAATTAAAATAAAATAAGTAAAGTAAAATAAAAAAGTACCAACCAAAGGAAACTAGCAAGTGGGTACACACAAAAGATCATACTTGCACATGTCCACAAGGAATTTTAAAATATTGAGAAATTCAAGATAAAATTTATCTCAACTACAAAGTGCAGGGCTAAAATGCCAGGTTAAGAACCAGTTTCTAATTGGACTCCAGAGTCCAGACAATCAACAACCCAAATATTGAGAAAATCAAGAAAGTGAGTTATGGAACAAATCAAAAAATCGCCTAAGGCACAACAGACAAAAAAATTATCTCCTCATGGTCTAATTACACTTGCAAAAAAAATTTAAAATAATCCAGCAGCATTCTCCTTAATAGAAGATGTTAAGAAAATATTCAAACGATGGAATAGTCCTATAATCCCTCAGTTACAAATACCATCCCAAACTACATCAAAAGGGCACAATTTTTTTCACAGATATTAACCAGATGGAAAACCAACTTAAGAAGAGAAAACATATATACTTTGAGTTTAAGTGGTGTGCAACTGCAAAGCCAATCCAATTCATGCGATGATTGGGTTTCAAGCTCAAAAGCCGCTGCCTTGTTTCCACAAATCCTGTCAAGTCACGCATTTGAGCCTGCAGGAAAATCAGCAAGGAATGCCTTACAATTTTACAGAAGAAAAAGAGAGAAAGAGATACATATATACTCAATGTGACTAATGAGTAAAGACTTTTATTCTTATCGATTTTAACAATTTGGCTATACTCATAAGTATTAAGAAGAGGTTACTGAAGGATTCTTTAGTTCCATGTCTTACATATACATACCACAAAACCTAAATAACAGATCATTGCTCTTAGGATACATTAAACTGACCCATAATACTTCCAAGAGAGTGGCCAAGTCGTAAGAATTCTAAAGAAAAGGAAAACAGTAAACAGTATATCACCTGCAAGAGAGATAAATCCCGCAAAATCTCAATGTTATCAGGATCAATCCTCAGGGCATTTCTGTAACATTTAATAGCCTCCCTGTATTCCCTGTCTGAGCGATACAGAAGGCCATACACATGCCAACAAACATGACTTTTGAGATCATTCTGCACCAAGAGATGCATTAAAATTACAATCTTACCCAATGAAAACAAGACCAAACCATAAAATCCACTAAAGGAAAACTAAGAACACACATGCTAACCTTTAATCCAAGTCTAACAAGTTCATAAGCTTCTGCTTTACGGTCCATGCAATTCAGAGTTAGCCCTTTCATGGACAGAGTCTCTGTTAACCATTCAAAGATAGACCATAAGTTTGCCATTAGGACCTACAGTCTTGAAACTAAATTACAGAACACATTTATTTAGAATTTATCATACCAATAAAAAAGGGAAAAAAAAAAAAAAAAAGCAACTCCCCACACATAAACATAGCCCATTCACATACAAACACCCACATTTCAGTGTATTGGCAGTGAACTGCTTGATCTACCAGGAAAGAGTTGTGAATAGCATCTTTTAGGGAAAAAAAGAAAAAAAAAAAAAAAAAAAAAAAAAAAAAAAAAAAAAGACTTTTGAGTGATTGGGAAGGCTATTACTCAAGTAAAAAAGGTAAGAGCAACAGGTGAAAGTATCATATGCATACACAAAGATTATCACCAAAAAGGAAAAACAAAAAATCAAGTTTTCTCACAAGCTCGGAAGAAGTAACTTGAATTAAAAGCTAAAGAATTTTTTTGGGGAGGAAGACGTGATCGATGATCACCATGAATAATTAATACCACGGCGGCACAGCCTCATGTTCATTGATCACACTGCAGCAACATGAGATGCAAGCCTGCCTTGGATGGCATGCAAGAAAGGGGATAAGTGGATAACTACCTATGAACCTGATGTTATAAAACCCACACAAGCTGCCATCTAAAATTTGATGCAAAAGACGGAAGCTTTATAGTTTTTCAAAACAAAGATGCCAACTTTGGATCAAGGAGTGTACTCTGAAGGAAAGAAAAATCATTAGTGGAACAATTCCCAGGAGTCCTCGCAATCTTTAAAGTTAGAGTATAACAACTTCACAAATGATTTGGGTTTTCTTAGTTTCCTTGAAACATAATAAATTGATGTCTCAGGTTGAACAGAATCATGAACTTTCAAGTTTCAACAGTCTAACCCAGTTTTGAAGGGAAAAATGTGGTAGAAGAGCCCCTCGACAATAGAACTTCAAACAAGCGATCACAACAATATATCAAAATCAAAGCACCTAACTAATGACTCACTGTCAGCTGAATTTGCTAATTTAATAATATTATATATACATGGAAGATTCACTTTACCAGAGTCAGAAACTTATATGACATAAGATTTTTACATACCTCCATGGTCCGGAAACTTTTTCAGAATGGCATCCGCTGCCTTCAATCCCTTCTTATACTGCTTTGTTTCATAGGATTTCTGGGCAAAAAATTGAGCAGAAAATAAATTATGATTATAAATCCATAAGCAGTCACAATACTGTATTTAAGACCTTCCAAAATTTATAAACAAACAGAAACTCAAGAGCTAAAAAGGTTGAGCCTCAAATGTTAAAACTACTGACTACATATACACATAATAAACCCAATGCCCCCTAGTCTGCCAAGCTACATCACAAGGGAAGGAATACATGACAAGTCTTACTCTTTATCTCCTATTACAGTAAACAAGACAATGCTTGTAATTCTTAACTGTGAAGAATTAACGACGGAAAATTCGCAGAAAAAACAAGTTCTACTTTATAAAGCTCGAGAATAACAATCAGCATAAGGATGGTTAATTCCAATTGATCAATTCACCAATTCCAGCAGTGTGTCATTGGACCACTGACACCACTATGATGAAACAAAATTCTACATTATCATCTGTTTCCCATTGTTAAAAAACAACCGGCATTCGTATTGCTAACATTAATTAATAGCTAGAACAACAAATGTGATTATCTGAGTAATTAAACCAGTAGTCAACAAAGAACAACATCAAGCTAAAACCCCAATAATTAAATTTAACAAAAATCAAGCACAAAGCATCAAAATCAATAAGAAAAAAACAACAAAAAAAATCCTAAATTTAAGCCATAAATATTCCAAACAATTGAATACTAATCTAGGGTTTAAGGTGTGGCGCAGAATATTCAATGACGCAAATAAATCAACAACAAAACAATTGAACCTCGATTAATGAAAAGAGTTGAGCAAAAAGAAGAAAGAAATAGCGAAGACATACAACGATGAGCTTGAAGAGATTGGCTTCCTTAGGAGGAAGTGAAGCGCCCATTTTCGGCTGCGATTTTCCGAGGTGAGAGAGACGATGAAGGTGATGAGAAACAGTGGTGGATTCGAAGAAAAGCTTGAAGGAGTTTTAATGGCTGCGGAAGAGAGAGAAATGGAGGAGAGAGAAAGAGAGAGGTGGCGTTTATCTGCTGCAACCCTACTGAGGGTGAGAAAAGGGGAGAAGAGAAGAGAGTGAGAGAGAGAGAGGAGGATGGAGAAAAGTAGGGAATAGGGACAAGCAAAGCAATACTTGAAATTTTCTTGGTTTTGAGGGTAAAATTGTCATTTCAATTGGAGAATTTGATTCTATAATACCAAGTGTTCGGTATAAATAATTTCAGTTCGGTAAAATTAATATGGTGTATAATAATTTCAGTTCGTATAAGTTGGTAGAGTACTTGAGTATATAAATTGATCCCGAGCTACGACTATTAGGTTAAACTTTTGGTTGAATTAGTCATTTAACATGATTATGGTATAAGAGTTCACTTGATGAAGTAGTCATGTGTTCAAATCTCATAAATCAGTCTTTTAAGTGGGATTCATGATGGGTATCGAGGATTCGAGGTAGGTGTTTTAATAGACTATACCTGAAAGTTAATTAACAATGGCCTTCGGGACAAAAAAAAAAAAAAAAAAACCCTAAAAATATATATTTTAGTTAAAATCCCAAAACCAGCTCGAAAAAATCCCAAAAAATCCATTTTAGCCTAACAAGCCCTACACTTTGTGTGAGTCTGGGCATTAGATTTTGCACTAAGGCCACGCCCGACTTGAATGTTGATTACATTTAATTGAATTAGATTTTTCCATCCAATGGATCTTCGCCTAAATATGATTCTTAATCTGAAATATTTGTTACTTAGTGTTGTTTGGTTCAATAAAATATTTGTTATCTTATTAATTTATAGAAAAACCACAAGTTAGGCTTTCAATAGGTATTTTTTTATTATTATATTCATTCAATTCAACAATGCAAATTTTTGGAACGTAAACCCATTATATTCATATTGAACTCATTGTCCAATGAGTCTTGAAACAGCTTACAGCTTAGGGGGCTTACTAAATTTAGATTGGGATATCATAGTACTTTCATATAGGATGATCTTAAGAAGCACCTAATCATTGGACATTTGCAAGCACAAGTGAACCATGCCCTAGAAAGGGGTAGAGAGTTCACTCTAAGAATTCATCTCTCTCCAAAACTAGGATTCATTTGACAACGTAATGAATACTACCAAATTTATTGTATCATCAGAAAAGTGTGTCTAGTATAATGTGCACCATCAGTGATGATGTCCGTGTAATTGAAAACTGCAACTTGTGTGGTTAAACTTGGTAAAAGTTTTGGTTTTAGAGATTGATATGAGGAATGTAAAAGCTTTGTTTAGTAAGGGATTAGTTATAGTGTATAGGCATAGATAATTTTAATATGAACATCAATAGACTATGTTACCTCGTCCTTTTTGCCCTTCCCTACCTACAAAGGAGGGGAGGGCAAAGTTGAAGTGTAAATAGGACATCCCAAGACTCTCATTAGTTTTACTCTTACTTCCTCACTTGAATATATAGGACATCCATCACTAGTAAATTCATAATTATAAGGATATTAAAATCTCAGACAACAAGAAACGTCTTAAAAGGTAGATATCTTTCATTTTCGTACGCGTAAAAGTTATAAAAAGTAGAGTATTGTAGGTCCATCATAGGTAAATCTGGAAATGAATTTTCAAATGTAGGATAGAGAGATTACCTTTTCAGCCAGCTTCTTTTTTTCTTATTTATTTATTTTTATTTAATATTTTTTTTTTTTACATATAGAAATAGTTTTTAATCACTAACAAGTAACAACAACCGCTTTTGAAAAAAAAAAAAAGTAACAACGACCATATACAACAATTAGAACAAGTCTAAATGTACAGATCCATGTTGGCATGCTACACAATAGTGTATATGACACCACAAGTCCACAAGTAGAAAACAACAATATATTCTAGTGTCATACACACAATTTCAGGTCCTTTATAAACTAGGTATCTTGGAGGCTATACTATTGTAAGCATCATTTATCTCATCTTCTGTCATCTCAATTGTTTCATCACTGTCATAATCCACTGAGTTACCAGCTATGTCATCAGCTGAGACAACCTGTTTGCCTTTTCTTGTATTACGGCTGGTAGACTTTTGCTCTCTGTTCTTCTCACTCGAACCATCAGGCATCTCCTTCAGTTCACCCTCGTAGATCTTCTTACACGCAAGAGCCTGCTTGTGAAGATCAGCCTTGGAAATTGAGAAAGAACTTTCAGCACCCTGCACTTCTATCAATTCTTCAACTGCCCGAGGGACAATGTTCCACTGCTCAGTCAAATGCTGTAAATCCTGGACTCCAAAATTAAACAGAAAACCACTGTGGTAAGACCAATAGGAGGAAATAATATAGCAATAAATGTCGCGCTTTCTGGTTTGCAATGCTGCAAGAACTACTGAATTTGCTGAATATTTCACACAGCAAGCTATGCATACCTGCTCTTTGTCAAGCAAGTCTATGGCTTCCTCTAAACAGATCAAAATTCCTTCAGCAGCTACATTCCTTATCTCACTCGGCTCAGGCTGAAAGGTAAACAGTATAATAAAACCAGTTATTGAAAGTCTGAAAAAAGATGATATCTGCCCAATCACAGTAAAGAGTAAAGACGCAATTCAAACACAACACGTATACTCGTATATTTGTCTGGGCAGTTGTGGCTAGAAAAACAAAGGATTCTCGCTTGGGGTTATTAGCGAGTAAAAGGGAAATTTTCCTCAACATTATTGCTATTTTTGATATTTCTGTCTGACTATCTCGCTTACATTTGACTTTTACAGATCTAAAACCACCAAACTTAATAGCTTTAACCTCATGACGGCACATTATGAACACTCAAAACGATACAAAGAACCTCTGCTACTTTATTGCACCCTCAGAAAGAGATTTTTGTAGTTTATCAGCCCAATGTGATATGTATTTCAAATTATGCGGTTCTTATTCCCTATTGTTGAGCACCTCCAGAAAAAATCACTTCCAGTGCAACTTTTTAGTTTAAATTAAAAGGATTGCTGGACACTACCACTACATCGATTCCCAAACCAGGCTCATGCCAGCACATGGCACTGATAAAAATCTATATGTTTGGTTATTAATGGGACATGCATGCTTAATCTAAGGTGGAAAATATTTATATCAGGTTCTTTTTTCACCTTAAGCAGACAAAGAGGATTATAGTGTTAAAACTATACAGTTAGGTGGAAGAAAAGGGGGGGCATAATTCACAAGTTTAGGGGTATACATTGCTCAAAGCTAGACATGAAGATTATCTTGAAAATTTTACAAAGGTTTACCCCCCCCCCCCCCCCACAAACAAAAAAAAAAAAAAAGAAGAGAAAGAAAGAAAGAAAAGAAGAAGAAGGGTGAGCATAATAAAACTAAATAAATAACACTATTGTAGTTGTACAAAAGGTCTCAATGCAGAAGTGCAAGTATAGCTGTATAGGGGATATCATACACACTGTACTTTAAAGCTTTGAAAGGTGGAGAATATATCTGAACAACATTACCCGGATAAATTTAAAAGTGTTAAGTATGTCTACCTATCGCAGTCACCAACAAGTTAAAGTTCAAGAGTTGCAATACAATAGATAAACAGAAAAACATAAACAAAAAACAAGTGTTTAAGGGTAAATTGATAGTTGATACACTTGATAGTAATGCTATGGACAATTCCACCACAAAACCAAGCGAAGTAATACAAGTTCTCAACAATTTTCTGCATATTTCCTTCCTATCTGATCCACTCTATATATAGGCATATAGCCTGCTGATTTCCTTTCCCTCTAACAAACTCACTGAGCCTTCCCCAACCTACTATAACTGACTTATTTACATTTCGCAAAGTGTCCTTTCCTTTATACCTGATGCACTAGTGAGCACTACAGCAATCTGGACATGGAGAAACGACCCTAAACTTTGGACAAAGTACAGGGACATGTCAGTGTCATACAGCATTCATGAAACAATTACTGATCTAGAGCACGTTGGCATGTGCTTTCCACCATTACATCTACACAAGCACAAATAGATTGACTTATTTGCTAACTTTGCTAGAAATCTAATGGCTGACCCATTCACGAGCATATAATTTTCCTCCTCTTTTCTCTATGATATTTTATATTTACTCCAATAATACAGTAATATATGGTCCAAAATAGTTGAGGTGTCCAAGTGAAGACTGAAGTGTCTTGCAGAAATTAGTCCCAATCTTATCTCCCGAAGGACACAAATTAAAAATAAACAAATAATTGCTTTGATAATTTGATTTCTTAAACTGCATTAAAAGCAAATTAATGTACCTTCTCTTCCTGACTTTCAAGCCATGTGAGAGTCCTGTTCAAATCATCAACTGCCCATTTCTTCACCTTGGAAGCAGCAAATTTTTCTCTAAGACCTTTTGATGCATTTTCTCTCAATCCCTGCAGCAATGGAAATACATTTGACCAATGTAACTGAAAGAATATGTTCACATGCTGCCTGAAGCCTAGCAAGCAGGCATTACATGCAAAATAATACATGCCAGCATTGTCAAGAAACTGTGAACAGAACAGCAGCTAGAACTTGTATGACTAACCTTTGGTGAGCTGGGAATACTAGACTCAACTTCAGGTCGTTTCACTTCATGATTACGAGATTTATTATGTCGGGATTTTTCAGAAACTGCAAGCAAACAGAATATTAGCCCCCAGAAGTGCACACACTATCAAGGAGCATCAAGCTGCAGTTCAATCAGGAAAAAGGCATTTTAAGCTTCTAAAAGATTGTAGGAACTGCCTAATGATTATAGGAAGCAACAAATGAAACAATTCATTTATTGGATGATCCATAATATCAAATGCTCTGATGAATTAGAAAAACATTCCATAATGGTTATGCAAACTCATCATAGGAAGGACTAGGGAAAAAAAATAGCACAAGCAAAAAATACAGCAACAAACAGAAAATGATAGCAATGAGGTTTCTGTTCCTAGCAATGTTTAGAAAATTTCATAAGCAGGATGCTGTAATTTTTTATCCCAATTCCCTAGCAAGCGTACTAGTACATGAGAGATACAGGACCAAAGGAGAATCATCCTCAAAAGCTAGCTATAGCCCTATATAAATCCCACATCAGCCCCCTCATATGACTGATGTGTAACT